TGTGTTCACGCTTATTAATCGTTCTGATTGAGTCTTGCTAAAGAAGAAACTTTGAAACTTATTTTCTTTAAATTTAATCTTGAAAGCAAATTTCTATTTCTACTATATATGAATTTTATATTGAATGATATATATATATATATATATATATATCTCAAGAAGTTTAAGTATGCATAGAAATTTATAAAAAAGAAATTGTAGAAGGAAAGGAAATTTGAAGTTCTAATAAATTTTATTTGGATTTATATATTCATGATTTATGCATTTATTTAGTTGTTGATGTTGATTTTTAGGATGCATGTGCTTATATTAATATTTTTAATTAATTATTTTAGTAAATTTATAATTGATTCATTGATTTGCTTTCCATTGTTTTCTTCAACTATAAATTGGAACATTACTCACTAAAAAAAAATTATTTAGTCTCAAATATTATAGTTGACCTTGTACCTCCAATTGAACATTGAGGGGCTCTTTTGTTTTTTGAAACAATGGAAGCACATGTTAGTTACTTTGGATGTAAATATATTTTGTATTAGAAAAATTTTAGTTTAACGCTCTACGAATATTGTAGTTAGGTCCTAGTTTTATTTTATTGTTATGCAATCTACTGGCGTGGAGCTAGTTTCATTTACCGGATTGTTTGGTTGGTTTTTGCTCTTATAGGGATTTTGAGACATCCAAATCATAGGAGAGACTTTGCCAAAATCTTTACAAAATATTTAAAACTTTATAAACTTTATAAATATATGTAAAAATTATATATTGATAATTTAGCCTAATTTCTAGCTAATCAAGCCTTGTGAAATGTAAGGTTATCTCATATTCTGTGCTGGTCATACCCTTAATATTAGGATGTGACAAGCAAAATAAAACTAGGATCTACTTACGGCATACATGGAGACTAACTTCCATCATATAATGTAATGAATATTTACATCAAAATAAAAGATTAAAGTGTGCTTCTATCGTCTGAAAAGCAATAATGCCCCTTAATAATCAGCAGGAAGCGCAGGGTTAACTACATTATTTAAGACTAAAGAAATTTTCGGTGAGTAACGTTCCAATCAAAATTATAAATAAAAAAATTATAAAAATAGTAACTAATAAATTTAGTTTAAAATAAATAAATGAAATAATGAAATTTAAGTAACAATAGATAACAAGTTTTCTCAATAATATAATCATGAAATTAAATAATGCTAATAAAATCATATAACTTTATCAAAAATTGTATTGCTCATAGAATATAAAAATTTTAATTAATGATACAACTAGATAGAATGCTTTTAGTGAACTAATATAAAAATGATAAATTTTAATTTAAATATAAGAAGGCTTTATCAGAATGAATAACAAGTGTGGATATACAATCCATAAGGGTAAATAACCAATCAAGTATAGATACATAATCTATGAGAATAAGTAACCAGTCAAGTGTAGTTGAAAGTAGGGATGGAAATAACTTAGGGTTTTAACAGGGGCCTATAACATGACTTACTTTAAGCTAGTCTAGCTTGTTTACTAAATACTCTTAGGTTAGGTTCATACTTTTAATTAAGCATATTTAGTTAAATAAGCCAGGCTTATTTTTCAAGGCCTAACCTACTAGCCAAATAGATCGGCGTATTTATGTATGTGTGTGTTATTTAATATATCACAAATATATCATTTTCACCACTTGATTTTTAATCAATTTATTCTTTTTTATTTCTAGTTATATTTTCAATCATATTAGACTTATATATTAAGTTTAATATTGTTACTTTATTATTATATTGTATTATAATTGGTAAGTTTTTTCAATTATTATATATTATAATTGATAAATCAAGTTATATGTTGTACACTATAATAGTTTTAAAGTATATTTGAGATATTTAAAACTAAAATATGAACATATTTAAAAGGCTTATTTTTAAATAGACTTTCAGGTTAGGCCATGTTTTAAATAAGTTTAGACTTAAGTTATGGAAAAAGCCTTATATAGACTTCAAGCCAAGCTTAGGCCTCTGATTTACCACATAAGCGCAAGTTTATTTGGCTAAAACTTAGCTTGACCTAAACTATTTCTACGCCTAGTTGAAAGCCACGAAACAATCATGGTAAGAGCCATGAAATAAGCATAGGCATGAGGCCCATGAAAACAAGTGCGGCACGAGCCACGAAATAAGCATGAGTATGTTGCTCGTGAATAACTGTACTTTCATTCCATGTGTGTTGGCCTTCGCATAGGATTTAAACCTCCTATAAGCATCCTATTAACTAGGTGTACCATGGTGCGCCAAGAATGATATTACTATTAACATCCAGCATTTTGAACTCAATCCCCCCACTAACAATCAAGCATGCGCGAAGCAAGAAAAACAATTTTAAAATTTTCACTTTCACACATAGTGTTCAACAATCATTTTCCATTTGTCATATATCCAGTTCATTTATTACTAGCAATACAAATCATCAGTAAAATCAAGACGTTGTCATTAATAAAAACAATTATTATAAAAATAGGATTGACAAGATATTTATACCAATAAAAAAATAATATTAAATTTAAATAAAATAATTTTTTAAATACTTTACTAGAAATTTATTCAAAATGCCACCCACTCAGTTGAGAGTTTCTCAAGAATTTTAAAACTCATTCACTTCAACTTCTTACTTTAATTCCAATGGTGTTATTAATTTCCTAACAAGTAAATTACAATCCTAACATGACTTCTTTATTTTGTCCTTAATGTAAGTAAGTTAATATTTAGCATTCTAATCTCAAACAGCAAACAACATTCTCTTTATCTCAATAAGTTCTCTCTTTTCACTTGCCAAATAATTTTGTCAAACATGATTGGTGGTATTTTATCAAACATTTTTTTATCAAACATTTTATAGGCACTAATTTTTAAATTTTAATACTTAAGTTCTTCCTTCAAATCCCATGTCACAATTTTTCGAACAATTCTATAGCATTAATTCATAATACTTTCCCAATCAAATTTTCAATCAAGAATCAATTAAACTCAATAACAATATTCAAGTCCATACTATCATCATCATGCTTTCAGTCCCTCCCTACACGTCCACTGACAGCAACAACATGGAAAAAAAAAAATTGCAACTTAAATTTTTAAATCACACATTCATGTACACATGGTCATTAAGAAGAAGAGTTTAAGGCTTCTAACCTTAATTATAAGTAATGACATAGGAGGGAAGGAAAAAGAAAGAGCTGACAGAAATGGGGAGAGGAGATCCGACGCAAGTCAGCCACAACACTGTTGGAGGAGGAAGGTTCTAGCGTTTTCACGGTCACCGGCGTCAGTCGCAATGGAGGAAGCAGAAGACGGAGAAGGAATGGAAGATGAAGACCACACACACTACACCAGTGGAAATTACAGAGCAAGGAGGCAAGACTAAAGAGGACGCTAGCGGGAGGAGGGAGAATGATGGGAAGATGGTCACCGAAGGCACAGTATCGCGAGCTGCCAGAAAAGTCGAAGAGGAATGTGGAGAGAGAGACAGTGAACTAGATTGAGAGAGTCGAAAGATCCAGGAAATTGTCCTCCTCTTGCGCGTGTCTGGCCAAAACAGGAAGAAGAAAAAAGAAAAACATTACATCTAGGTCTCACATAAAAAAACAATTTATCATCAAAAGATCTGATAAAATTTACAAAATATTCTCCACTCTTAAATCTTGCGTATATACAACTTGACTAAAGGTATTTACAATTAGGCAACGGCCATTTACATAGTAAGTTGTAAATGGCCATTATCCAATTGTCAATGTTTTTAATTAAGTTGTAAATGTGCAAAATTTGAGAGTTGAGAATATTATGTAAATTTTATTGGATCTCTTGATAATAAATTTTCTTATATGGGACTTAGATGTAGTTTTTCCAAGAAAAAATCTGAACATAAAGAATAATTGGAAAATGAGAAGAAATAGCACAAGAAAAATTACATGAAAGAGCACAAAATTTTTCTATAATTTAAAATACAATAAAGTCAAACTTTTGTTCAATAAAATTCGAACTTTAGATTTTCAAGAAAGTTATTAATATAAGTTTTACTAAATTACTCTCTCCACTTATTATAAAACTAATTTAAAGAAAATATCAATTGAGAGAAAAAAATTTATTTAATTTAAAGTTTAGGATCATTACAAACATATTATATAGAGTCATGACTTCATTCTCCCATACATATTATCAACTTTCAAATACCTAGCTAATATATAGGCGATAAAATGATTGACTTCTTAGCCAGTTATGCACAAGCACATGCATAAATTAGTCTCATCTTACACGATTAATTTATTCAACTATTTTCCATCTTAGCCTGTATACAACATTACAATGTTACAATTGGATTATATTCTTAATTGTTTTTTTTTTCCATTTTTATGTTCATAATTCCAAAACCATAAAACACAGATATCTTGCTAATAGTATATAGAAGCGAAGGCAGTAACATTGGGTTACAGGAATTAAGCCGTACAAATAGAGAGAAGACATGGACCACTAGTTAGTTTCAATCAAGATCGGCATAGTGGGCCTCATCTTCTCTAATGAGTTCTTGTTTTGGAGCAAAACAACTATTTCAGACATCACTGGCCTCATATTAGCAGATGCTTGGGTGCAAAGCAAACCAATCTCTATTATTTTCTTCACTTCTTCTGCATCATACTCATTAGGATCTAAGGTCTCGTCCACCAACTCCAAGTGCTTGTCTTGCTCATAAAGTTTCCAAGCCTGTCAAGTCGGAGTTAATAGGGAAGTGAAACAGAGGGGTAGAGAAGAAAAATGAACAGTTAATTATGTCAAAGTATTTTTAGATATTCTTAGATTCATTGGCAATGAAAGAATGGATTTTTCAAAAGCAAAGAAAATGAACTTAATCTGCATATTGTTAAAAAACATTTCATATCTAAATTTTCTCAAAAGAGACAGAAGAAATTGCAGTCTGAAATATTCATGGGAATTTTCTTACTTTTTGAAGGAGGAATGCACCTGCATCATTGCCATGAAGCCTTAATTCATTGCTTCTTTGACCACTAATGATTTCTAAGACGACAACACCATAGCTATAGATATCAGCCTTTTCTGATAATTGGCCATGAAATACATACTCTGGTGCTGTATATCCTCTATCATGCATATTATAATTAATATTTATGATGCAATAGATTGAAACAATGACTCCAGTATAAACATATAAATATACACACATATATATAGATCCAATAAAATCTGCAATAGGCATATGCAATGTAAAATACCATGTCATGTTTGATGATTGACATTGACATGAATTAATTATGAAGCATTCAAGCTAATGGGTGTAGAAGGAATATTGTTTGATTGACTTGCGTGTCTGTGTCCATATATATATATATATATGATCAACACCTTAGACAATATCCACGTGTTATAATAGAAGTAAAGGAAATTAAATAATTAAAGGGAAGACACTATTTTTGATCTCTATACTTTGCTCAACTTTTGTTAAAAGTTTTTACACTTTCTTTTATGTTACAAGTCTCTGTATCTTAGACAATCCACATGATGCCGGAAAAAAGCTTGGACACTGCGGAAAAAGAGCATTCAACTGAGCCGAATAGTCATCGTTGGTGAAAGATCATTGGACAGTGGTGAGTATTTGTTTTCTAAATTTGTCCCCATTTCTGGTTTAGCTTCTTCTTCTCATTCTCCTGGGATTTGTCTTCCAGAACATGAATTTTGGGTTTGAGTCTGTTGGATTGGGAGCAAAAATGGAGTCAAAGAAAGAAACACAAAAATCATATAGTTTCGTGAAATGGAAGCCTTTTCTTTGGCCACATCAACAATTTCATCCTTTGCCCTTTACCCAGATCCACTTCCTCTCCCTCACAAGTTTCTTCGCTGTTCACCTAGTTCACTCTGATCTCTTCCCATCTAATCTTCTTCGCTATCTCTTCGCGCAACTGGGTGAAGCAACTCCTTCCCTCCGATCGTTCAAGTTGAGCTTTTTTTTTTTTGGGCTGGTGTGGCTTTTTTATTTTTATTTTGCTTATTAAAAATCCAACTCAACATCCATTTAACACATTGGTGCAAAGTTAACTGTGTTAGTGGACACATGAGCAATCTTAACATTATTTGTGCCACATTAACGTCCCTATAAAATTATAGGAACCAACATTATAAATGGAAAAAGGGATTTGGAATATTGAAAAAAGTCCAAAAATCTATAATAAAATTGGAGCAAAGTATAGAAACTAAAAGTATTATTTTCCTTAAATTAAATATAGTTGTTTTGACTTACAATGTTCCTGCAATTCTTGTGGTTAGATGAGATTTGTCCTCAAGCAAAAGCTTTGCCAACCCAAAATCTACAATTTTAGGCTGTAGATCATCATCTAAGAGGATGTTGTTAGTCTTTATATCTCTATGTATAATACGTACAAGAAATTTTTCATGTAGATAAGTCAAACCTCTTGCTATTCCTAAAATTACTTCATATCGTTGCTTCCATTTGAGAGAACCTTTGCTTCTACCTGTTTTCCAAGTTTACAAACTTTGAAAGGTAAGAAAATGATGAAGGGTGAACGTTCAACCTTAAAAATGTTTTTCATCAAAAGGTTACAATAGAGAATTGATATCTAAGCTTATTATAATATGTTCTCCATTAAAATTATAACATACGATAAGCTTTTGTTTCAGAAGTCAATGTTGTGTTGTTGGTTATTTGAAAATATGCACTCATGTCACGATGTTATTAATTAAGAAGCATATATAATAGCTTTTGCATGCACATGCATAGAAGTTGTCGGTTGATATAAGATACCAAATAGGAATTTGTCAAGGCTGCCATTTTTCATGTATTCATAAATAAGGATCTTATAATGGCCTTTACTACAACATCCCAGAAGCCGAACAAGATTCCGACGATGAACATTACTTATAAGCTTCACTTCACTTTCAAAATCCTCCTCCATCTTCCTGGACTGTTGTAAAGTTAATTTCTTGACTGCCACAACTTTACCGTTTTTCATAGTGCCCTATGATGATAAAGAATTTCAATTGTTTTAGTTTCATAAGAGGTATACCTTCGTCATGTAGGAAATCTATTTTTTTTTTACAATACTATATAAAACTAATTAAGAGACACCATTGCTATAGAACATTATCAATATTTAAATATTGAAAATCAGATTAAAGTTACCTTGTATACAGCCCCAAATCCTCCTTCTCCTAGTTTGTTTACTTCACTGAAATTATTGGTTGCAGATATCAAATCATTATAATTATAAGTAACAAGACCTTCCAACTTGCTTGCTCCAGTTATGTCTCCTGTTTAGGAAAATGCAAGTGGATCAAAGTCACTTTATAAATTAATAAAACTAGTGGGAAATCTGCTCGACCCAAAAATTATATAGATATCTGCGGTAATTTTCCTTTCATTATAGTGCTAATTGACCCTGTTTCAAGAATAAATCAAGAGGAAACTTAATAAAATTGAGAGGGGGGAGCCAAGTCCAAAATGCAAAAAATGCCACAAGTCATGGTAAGAAAATTCCAACATTTAGCCCTATTAGCCCATAAAATCAACTAGGTTGTACCACTGGCTTGGTGTCTGGTAAGTCTGACCTTGCTCAAGTTATTTGGGCTCGGGTCAAGCACTAGGTGAGGGTCAAATCTCGCCCTACCCTATTTGGCCCAAAACGTATATGCATTTTCATTTTTTATTTTTGGTGAAAACCAATTGTCTTATAACATCATATTTCTTAATATACTTTATGTATCATCTTGTTTTTATAATCATCAATACATCATTGGTATTTTTATGATTTTAAATTTCAGTTGTTTCAAAATTTTAAATTAATTTTTAACTTAGTAATATATAATTGTTTAAATTATTACTTTTCATCCTAACATTAGTTTTATATAAAATGTATTTTAAATTAGTATAATTATTATTTTTTTGTTCAATGAAGGAATTTTTCATTATTATGAATATTTTTTGGTTCAAGCCGAACCTAGCTTGAAAAATGATTAAACATTTTTCATTGTTGCAGCACGTGTGGCATACAGATGAAGGCTAACACCTTTTATGGAAAAAGTATGATAATGTCATTTAGCTAGATTGTCAAGGTTGCATGCTCATTGATGAATAAAGTTGTGTCTTTCTCCTAAGAAGTCTCAGTGCAAGGATTAACACTCAAAATTTACGCATGTGTTGCCGCATTCAATTAGCATCACACACTCAAAAATTACAAATTGATATATGGTAATTGAAGACTTTTTAAGTTATTTAATTACCTCTAGGAACCCTCTCATTCCTTCTTCGTCGTCTAATCCTAGCAAACAATGCAAGGATGATCAAGACAAGAGCTGCACCTCCAACAACTCCTCCAATTATTATGACCCTCTTTTTGCTTGATCCTGCATTAATATATAGAGGAAACACAACTAATAATTCATTATTCTCAAACAAACTAATCAATTGTTTTGCAGTACACAATAAGAAACCAAGCTATATAAGATCAACATTGCTGTTATCTATGGGATCACTCATTTCGAATGAATCAATTTTCACCTTGTTTGGTCATGGGTGTGATATCAATTGTTTGACTATCATTGAAGAAGGAATTGGTGGAGTATCTCATGAAACAACCAGCATCAAAAGCCTTGCCATCTGAAAAGCGAAGACAAATCTCCATACTGTTGTACCGACCCTTCAAGCAATCAAGGCAACCATTCATTGTGATGGTCTCAACACACTAAGCAAAGGCATAAATAGTTGCATTGTTATTACTTGGAACATTCATCTTCGTGGCTGCAAAGAAACTAGGGATTCTTGGTGTTGCTACTTGGAGATTCATCAGAACTTGTCGAACTGTTTTGGTAAATGTCGGTGCTTGATCTCCTGCTGTCTGATTCCCACATGATGCGAAATTGAAATCCTGCGTCGTCTCGTCGAAGAAACCATTGGAGTTGTACCTTAAAATACCATGAAGTATCTCGAATCATTTTTCCAAGTTCAATATATGGACTTTGTTGTGTGTAAATCAAGCTAATGGTGAGAGAGGACGAACCTTTCTACTTTGGATTATTTTGTTATATAAGTTTGGAAATTAATGGGTTATTTTTTATTATAATTAAAGTTAATTAATTACTAGACTAAAAGTGGTGAGAATAAGTAAGGAACTGGTCCTGCTTCAACGCGGTTCTTCGTGTCTTTTAAAGAGGATATTTGTTTATTTTTCCCTCATGCTTCTTCTTCCCGCTTCAAAGTGGTTCTTTTTCTCTGTATTTTTTATTTGTTTTGAACTGATTCCTTTTAAGTTTAAATGGCATGTTTATTCATTTTTTAGTACAATGAATCTACTCCATGGATAGTGGAGTATAAATTTCTTTAAAATACTTGAGGCATTCAAATTTTTAGGACATTATATTTTAAATAACGAGAGTCTCTAATGCTCATATTAACCTGAGTTGTTTTTTTTTTTTTTTCAATTCTGATGCTTTTCTTAGTAGGCAGGTCTGAGGTACGTGTGGCTCCCAATTAGCATCCACATAAGTTTTTCCATATTAATTAGCCGTAGTCAACCATTAACCAATGATAAAAAAGGGACTCAACCGACTAGGTCAACCAGTTAAACTAGGAATCAAGCCTAATGTTTAGTCCAAGATTGGGCATATAAATTAGAACTAATTTGAACCGGACAATTTTTTTAAATTTTAAAAAATTTAAATTATGTTCCTAAAGTTATAGTATATATATAGACACACATATAAGCATTTGAAAACTGAGACTCATGAGAAAATGAAAGAAATGTGTGTGTCATGCCTCTCTCTCTCTCTCTATATATATATATATTGTAAATTAAAATTATAAAATTAAAAATAATTATATATATATCTAATGAATATTTCATCTCATAATTGTTTTCCTTTTATTTTTCAAATTTTAAAATATTTATTAATCTTATTTATTTTTTCTTGCATTATATTTTTAATTTTTAATTTTAATTTTTTTTCATTTGAAACCAATTTTTTGATAAATTATTGTTATTATTTTTTCATTTTTAAAAATAATTAGCATGAATTCAAAGTATATTAATATAATATTTCATCACAATTAGCACAGCAGAATGTGATGTCAAATTCGTTTAATTTATTGTGTTATCCCTCATTTATGTCATTTTAAATTATTTTGTTTTCTTGCCTTTTTCTTTCCCCCTCAATGCAAAAAAATTAAAGAGGCAACTTCCAAAACAACCATTAAAAATAATCACATATAAAATTTTATTTGATTGAATTGATACAATTTTATTGAATAAAGCACGGATGAGGTGGTATTGCTAGTGCATGCAAGAATTTTTCACTTGACCAAGATCTGATAATTGACTCTCGAACTAATATCTGATTTTTAAGTCTTTGGTGTTAACAGATATAGGAACGGATTTATAAACTTTTAAAGAATAAGGCGCATTGGATAAATGGTGCACACCGTAGGAGCTAAAAGATTAGGACTTGTTTCATTCTGTTTTCTATTTTATGTCATTTAAACAGTTCTGTAGAGTAGTTTTTTAAAACAAGTTTTGAAAATAAAAAATAAAAAAGATCTGCTTGAATCATTATGTTGTAAAACAAATCTAAATGGGTAAAATAAAGGGTGAAAAAAGAATTTATTTTATTATCATAATTATCTTCAATGAAAACATGATATTTTCTGCTCTTTATTTAGTTTTGCAAAACAAAAGGTAACAAAACATTTAAAAGATGTTCTAGTTTTTTGGTTTTTCAGAATAACCTTTAACTTTATTTTTCATAACAGATAACAAAAACACATTATCAAAATAGGTTTTTTTTTCATGTTCTTTCGTTTTTCAAAACAAAAAATAGTTATGAAAACAGGTAATCAAACATGCTCTTAATTTTTCTACATATCAAATAAGCACATAAAAAAGGTAAACTAGATGGTGTCATAATTTCGCAATATATGGCCAAGAAAGCCATTTGAGATTGTAGATTAGTACCTGAGGAAGCAGCCGTCATAGACAACATGAGCACCAGGGGCTATGGTGGCGACGCAGCTACGGATTCGGACAGCAGCCGCATCGAGGCACGCGACGCAGTCAATGATTGGAAGGTAGTTTCTGCACTGAAAAAGAGTGATAACGGGGTTTTCTCCTTGGCGTTGCTGTTGTGATGTGGCGAAGTGCTTGTTTTGGTCACTGATCTGCTCTCTGATGTCTTCAAACGTTGCGTGTAGGTTGTCATTGAAGATGGAGATGTTGTTAATGAAGAACTCGTTGAATGGGTTGCACTGGATCTTAAGAAGATTGGTCTGTGGATCTGAAACGACGCCGTTAAAAGTGCAACATGACCAGAATATGAAGGTAAAGAAGGGAAGATTTGATAGCTGAAACATGTTTAGTTGAGTTTAGAGAAGGAAAATGAATAAGAGAAGGGAGCTCAACGAGGCTTTCTATGTGGAGAATAGAGGATAGTGAAAGAAAAGTATTATGGTGTTTGAAATATATTGGACGGCAACGAAAATGGTGTTGTTAGAATGAAAAAGACAATGAATCCAACACCGTTGACTTTTATTAATTGGATAAAAAATTGTTGAAGAGCTCGAAGGAAAACAAACAAAGTAACTATTATCTCAACAGTATTTGGGTGTGTTAAAAGGCAGTGAAAATCAATTTATTTTGAATTTTGATTATATAATATAATAAGCCTGTCAAATAATCTGACAAAATAAAGAAAAAAGCAGTTAAAATTAATTGTAAGATGCAAATGGATGATGGGATGAATATTTATGCACTAATAATCATAAAGACACTGATTTTATTATTGTACTAGGTAGGAGCAATCTACATGTGGAGAAGAAATTATTACGCAAGAACATTTGTCAAAACGAAAAAGTAAAGTTGTGCATGGACATCCAAGGTAAAACATTCTTCCCCTGAAACCTATTCTTCATTTTTTTTATTCAACTCTACAGAAACTCTCCCTCCCTCTCTCTCTCTCTGTGTGTGTGTGTGTGTGTGTGTGTCATTCGTTTCTGGACCAGTTTACATCATAATCATGATTATTCTTAAAGAGGAATTAAAAATGTATTGTCAAATAATTTGTAGTAGTCGTTTTCAATCACCCAGCTTTTCTATACTCCATCATATATTCTTCTAGGGTGCTCACCGTGTCCTGTCTCCAAAAAAAAAAAAAAAAGACTAGAATTTAATTTTTATTTCATATTCTGTCCCATCCCATTAGGAATCAAGATGGACCAGGACAAGATTGCATGCCTAGGTGTGCGCGGGCACAAACATATATATACTTGCACGCAAAAACAAAAACAAAAGATAAAATTATTTTCATATAATATCAATACATATAAATTTATACCAAGCATAAGTCATAAATATAATCTTCTATTTGTATGTATATGTGTGGAGTGGAGGTGATATATTTTTGTAAAACTTAAAATAATACATATATCTTGTGTGTGCGTGGGTGGGTGGGTGTACAATATGGATTAAATATAACTGACTCTTTCATGAATTTATGTCATGGATCCATAGAAAGTAATCTATTCAGAAATTAAATATATAAATTCAATTTTTGCCCTTGCCACTTGTTGGAGGAAATTAAATAAGGCCATTATTGGAGCAGTGGTTGCGGGTGCATCTTTTATTTTCATCGTGCTTGCATCATTTTATATATATATATATATATATATGGGCGTACAAATTAAAGTCGTCCCAGAGGGTTCCTAGAGCTGTGATAACTTGCAAGTCTTCAATTTATTATTCAATTCAAAATGATCATTTCAATTTTGATCAATATCAATACCAACGAAAATATAAAATCTATTACAAGCTAATATTATTCACAAGCCATGTATGATTTATTTTTCGAAGTCCATGCAATAATTAATGTAAAATAAGTAATTTTAAAATTGTATTCTATGGTAATTTCTTAATAAAAATTAAAGCATATTAGATTCTTTATAATTAATGTGCTTTTACCAAAATTGTGTTGCCGAATGATAATTAACACATATACACTAACTCGGATTGATGAATAATTACAAACAAACGTTGAAGAATAATGGAATGAAATTAAAGACAATCATCTTCTACACATTACTTTTTCTAGCTATCTGGGGTTCAAAACTCAAATAAATCGACCACCCTTAAATTCATGTACAAGCATATTGCGGATAGTATAAAAAGTGCAAGCAAGAGCATTCAATGCTTGTAGAGGAAGAAATAGGAGAAGAGGAGTCTCTCTAATTTGTTTCAATCAAGACAGGCATAGTGGGTATCATATTCTTTAACAATTCCCTGCCTTGGAGCAAAACAACAACCTTCGGTACAAAGCAAACCAATTTCTATGACTTTCTTTACTTCTTCGATTAATCATTAGGGTTTATGTTATTGTCCACCAGCTCTACGTGAATACCTTTTTTCATATAGCTTCCAAGCCTAGCAAGTGGGGTTAAAGTGAAATTGAATAAGTTAATAAAGGGCAGAAAAGGCAAAGCGAAAGTGAGGATATTTTTTTTTTAAATATCTATAATTAGATTATCCGCAATAAAAAAAAAAGGAAAGAAATATGTTCTAATGGAGTCAATCAAATAGTGTAAGTTCAGCTGTTAAAAATTTAACATCTAAGTTTTGTTTAGAAATCAAAGTGCTATTATATTTAGTCATGAGATCCTTACTTTTTAAAGGAGGTATGTACACATTCGCCTTCGAAATCACCATCAATGCCAAAACTTTTTTTTTTTTTTTGCCACTGATAATCTCTAGGACTGCAACACAATAGCTGCAGACATCAGCCTTTTCAGATAATTGGCCATGAATTGCATACTATGGTGTTGTGTATCCTCTAACAAATATACATAATATTTATGACAAAATTAACCAACACTATGACAAAAACATGAACAGGCTAAACTTAACATAGAGATTGACAACATAATATCATGTACTGTAGACATACCTGTATGTGAACTCTTATTTTTTTTGAACTATTCAAGTTTCAAAAAGACAACATAAAGAAAATTAAAAGTATTTATTTGTGTAATAATACTATTATAGTGACCTATAGATTTTATTAGTATATTATGTATTCCTGCAATATAAATCAAGAAAATTAGATATATGAAATTGTTTTGACATGTAATGTTCCTGCAAATTTGGTACTAAAATTAGATTTGCCTTTCAGGTAAAAGTCTTGCCAATTCAAAATAAGCAATTTTAGGCTGAAGATCCTCATCAAAGAGAATGTTTTTAGGCTATTTGTCTCTACGGATTATATGAACATGGAATTTCTCATGTAAATATGCAAGACCTTTTGCTGTGCCTAAAAATTATCATTGCATTAGTTGAACGAACCTTTCATTTTACCTTTTTTCAATAAAATTTTGACATATGAATAAGTATGTTACAGGAGCTAATAATGACATGCTGTTAAGTTGATGTCATAATGTTATGAGACACACTGTGTAAGTGGTTAATTGATGGATAGAAGGTTGTCGAACAAGAATATGTCAAGACTTTTATTTTTCATGTCTTTATAAACAAGGATTCTATTCTTGTCATGAATACAATATCCCAAAAGTCGAACACGATTCCGATGGTAAACAATATATTTATAAGCATCACTTCACTTTCAAACTCCTCCATCCTTTCAAAGTAATGGTGAAGGATCCAAAAATGTATGGTGAAAGAACCAAAAAATTATAGACAAGACCCAAAAAATTACAAAAAGGTCCAAGAAAATTTTATTGGTCTTCCTATGTAATTTTTTATGTTTGTCTTTTCTGTCATTTTTAGTGAACTAATAGTTAAAATTAACTTTTATTAGCGGTAAGAGCCAAATTACACTATTTTTAAATGTTGAAGAGAAACATTGCAAAATAAATGAGTTTAGAGTCCCAGACATTTTTGAACTTATAGTTTAAGGGTATATTTGCTCTTTTATCCAAAAGAAATCATTCAAGAAAGCAATTCAGGTGTACCAAATAACTCCATTGATCATTTTGTTTCCAATTTAATTTCCTTTCTTACAATTCTAGGATATCAGAAGAATTGTTAGGGTTGAATGTCTAATTTGCCCCTCATTTTCTTTTCTAGAGCGCATTGAACACCCTCAAGTCAAGAGTAATGCAATGTCACCTCTCATGTAATTAAAAACAATGCACATGGCCCCTCTTGGATGTTTGTTAATTTGACTATTAATTGACTCAAAAAATTACAAAAAATGTTCCAAAATTACAAATAAGTTACTTATAAAAAATAAATATCGCCAACAAGGATTGGATCTAATAGAAAAGGTTAATCCATCACAACATAACAAACTAAGGTTTGAATTTATGCTTGAAAATGTGCTCACGTTTAATATTCGACAATGCTTAAATATTATTACTGTTTACAAAGCTTGACACAAACTATACAAATCAACTTTTGAATATAAGTATGTGAATTTTTTTAGTTGAATTGTAAATATGACAAACTTTAAATCTTTGTTCAAAATTTATAAGTCCTCCTTCAAAAATTTACAGCTCAACTAGAGTATTTAAGATTTATAAATAAAGCCTTTTTTCAACTAGAGATATAAATTAAAATAGTGTTTAATTTATAAGCCTTTTTTCAAAATTTAAAAATGTTTCTTCAGAAATTTACAGATACATTAACTTACGAGTAGCCAATGTGCTTTAAAATTAAAGGGTAAATTATCACTTTAACTCTATATTACGTAGAAATGAGGTTGCATGAATCTATTTGGTGAAAAACTAAATCTCATAAACATCTTCAAACGAAAGCCAAACAAGACATAATCCAACCCAATTTCTAGAGAAGAATTTAATTTATACAAAGTGGTATGCGGCAATTTTCACCGATTCATATACTTTGTATTTGTAAGATTGACATGTAATTAATTAACACAAATATTGAAGAATGGAATGAAGAACAATGATGACTTTCCATTTTTCTTCCTCTGTAATTAGGACTCCAAAGTCACATTAGTAACCCGCACTTTTCTATAGAGGGTGGGAGCAACATTGATAGTATTGGATGTAAAGGAAGCAGCAGAGGTAGGTAGGTATCCACTAATTGGACATTTAAGTAGCTTCAATCAAGAGAGGCATGGTGGGTTTTATGTTCTCTGGTAAGGCCATGTTTTGAAGCAAAACAACTACTTCTGACATCGTTGGCTTTATGTCAGCATGTGCTTGAGTGCAAAGCAAACCAATCTCTATCACTTTCTTCACTTCTTCTACATCAAAGTCATTTGGGTCTAAGGTTTTATCCACCAGCTCTGAATGGATTCCTCTCTCATCAAGTGGGATTAAGATGGAATGGAATATAAGGGGGGTAACAAGGCAAAAAGATGGGATAATATTTTTTTATTAGATTAATTGCTTTCATAAACAAGTTAACCCATGTAAAATAGCTATGGGAATTTGCTTACTTTTTGAAGGAGGAACTCGCCTTCATCATTGCCATGGATCTTCAATTCTTCACTTCTTTGACCACTGATCATTTCTAAAACAATAATGCCATAGCTGAAAACATCAGCCTTTTCTGATAGTTGGCCATGAATTGCATATTCAGGTGCAGTATATCCCCTAACAAGTGCAATATGTAATTGATAATATGATAATGTCTCCAAAATGAACAAATAAATATTGGGATCCAACAAAATTTGGAATATAGACATTTGAAGAGTTAATTAAGTATTGCGTTATGCTTGATCTGACAAGTATATCCTGCCTAATTTAGTAATATATGTTCAATACAAGTTGAGAAAAGTTTAAAAAAAAAATTGCAATTGTTTCAACTTATAATGTTTCGGCAAATTTTATACTAAGATGACTTTTATCCTCTAGTAAAAATTTTACCAATCCAAAGTCAGCAATTCTAGACTGAAGTTCCTCATCCAAGAGAATGTTATTAGGCTTTTTATCTCCATGTATGATACAAACATGGAATTCTTCATGTAAGTATGCAAGACCTCTTGCTATGCCTAAAATTATATCATGCCTAAAATTATATCATACCATTGCTTCCAATTGAGTGAACCCTTCATTTTACCTATTTTCAATAAAATTTTGACATATGAATAAGTTTGTTAGAGGAGTTAATGATATGTTGCAGAGTCGATGTCATAAATGAAGAACACTAAATAAGTTTGGTTAATTGATAGAAGGTTACCGAACAAGAATATGTCAAGACTGCTATTTTTCATGTACTCATAAACAAGCCATGAATACAATATCCCAAAAGTCAAACAAGATTCCGATGATGAACATTATTTATAAGCTTCACTTCACTTTCAAAGTCCTCCTCCATCCTTGTGAATAAGTGGCGAAATGTTAACTTCTTGACTGCAACTTCTTTTCCATTCTTCAAAGTGCCCTATTCATGATTATTTAGAATTTTAATCATAAACGAGCTTTCAGACGTCATTGCATATCTATATTTAAATATTGAAAATAAAAATTTTGCCTTATACACAACACCAAATCCTCCTTCTCCTAGCTTATTTTCTTGACTGAAATTCTTGGTTGCAGTCTTCAAATCCTTATAATTGTAAACAGTTGGGCCTTTCAACTTGCTCGCTCCAATTATGTCTCCTACATATCGTGGAAAATGTTAGTCAAAGTCTCTTCAAAAATTATATATATATATATATATATATAGAAATCAAAGTCAATAATGATTCATTTCTTTTAATTCGGGGAAAAGTGAAAATAAAAAAGCCACAAATTAAATCAGTAAAATGTGACACACGTCCACACACATGTAATAGTTGAACATTTAAGATGTTTACCTCTTGGAACCCTCTGAGGCCTTTTTCTTCGTTGTCTAATCAAGACAAATAATGCAATAAAGATCAAAGCAAGAGCTACCACGCTTCCAACAAGCCCACCTATAATGGCTCCCTTATTGCTTGAACCTACAAGACATAACACATTTTGGGTCATACGAAAATTACAAATAATAAGAGATAATGAACCTATAATGGCTATTCGAAAATTAGTCACGTCATAACTATATATATATATATATATATACGCCAAACGAAATATTCCCTAAATCAACTTCTATTGATTTATCTAAGAGATAGTGAACCTAAATTCCATCCCTCTTAAAATAGGCATTTATATATACACACACATATATATATCCATGTCTAATCAAAATACTAAAATAAGATCACATCTATAAGACGAGGTTCAAAATTACAAATAATAAGCAAATCAACTTGTCATCTGAAGACATATCCAAATAAGATGTGTACCTTGTTGGAAGAAAGGAGTAGTGATATCAATGGTCTGGTTATCAGGAAAGAAAGAAGTGGTGGAATATCTCAAGAAACAGCCATTAGCATAAGCCCTACCATCTGAATTGGGAAGACAAGTCTGCATATTGTTGTACTGAGCATTCAAGCAATCCTCGCACTTACTTGATGTGATAGTTTGAATACATTGAGCAAATGCATAAATGGTTGCACCATTATCAGACACTTGCGTCTTTGTGGCTGCAGAGAAGGCAGTGATTCTGGGTGTTGCTGTTTGCAGATTCATGAGCACTTGATGCACAGCTGAGGTGAATACAGTAGCTGGTTCTTCAGTAGTTTGACTCCCACATGATGCACTATTCACGGACTGGGTCGTGTCGCCAAAGAAAGCGCTACTAATGTCGTACCTTATGTAACGCAACAAAAGGTTATGGATAATGGTGGATGATTTTAATTTTATATAGTATATATGTTGATATGTTGATAAATTGATTACTTTCTTGTATTGTATCTTACTGAAGGATATTTGAAAATAGCTAAATTTTACGTAACTACCTTGAAGCTTGGGATGTTTATAGATAACTTCCTTAATCTTTGAAAATTTACAGAAACTCACTGAACTTTACATAAGTAGGGTTTTTTTTTTTTGGTCAAATTTTAAAGGCTAAGGGGGTTATTTGCACATAAGTCAAAATTTAATAGAATTTTGTATAATTTAACCTTAAAAATTTTCATATTATTATAATAAGAAGATTATAATATTTTAGCATAATCCTAAATTCAGCTAATTAATAATGTCAAATAATTAATTATGTTCATTAATTTTTTACTTTTTCCGCTTTTACACGCATATCATCATGGGCATAAGAACTTGGGTAGGGACATGGCAGCAAATTAAAGTGACAAACACTAACACACGAATAATGAGTTGGTGCGTGAGTTGTCACATGGACTATCAAATTTAATTTCCATCGAGTTGATCTTTTTAAATTTACTTTAGTTATCCATTTTTTTTATTATTCAAAAAGGAGCTAACATTATAAAAATCTATTGACATGGATAATAAAATATTAATAAAATTGTGTAGATTAATAAAAAAAATATAATTAATTAAGTAGAAAATATACACTAAAAATTAAAAAAAAAAAGAAGAAGAACAAAACTCTGCATAAAGGACTATAATGTTAAAAATTAAACAAATTTAAAAGATAATTTATTCTTATTTAGTTGTTATAATTTAAAAAACGTAAAAGACTAAATTGATAGAAATTAAATTTGCAAGATCAAACTAATAATTAAGGCAAATTTGAGGGATTGAAAATTTAAATATGTCATATAAAAAATTATTATTTTTAATATTATCCTCAACTAAAATTAATATATCTTAATTAGCTTTAATTTTTTATATATAATCTTTATAATGCATTTAATTACGATATTCGTTAAAAAAAATAACGCTGGCTATCCACTTTTTTTCTATAAAAACATGTTCTAGATCCTGACCAACAATAATTTATAAAAAAAAAATGTCCTATAATAACAAAGCAGCCGAATGAGACCACCAACCCAATATAAAAACTCATTCAAGGTTCGGCCGAAAACAACTCATTCACACACAAAAAACAAAAACAAAAACAAAAAAACAAAAAAAAAACAAAAAACAAGAAGAAGAAGAAAAGATAAGATAAGAAACGCAATCAGTGAATATCGCAGAAATAAAAACAATGTAATAATGTCGCAATCAATGTCTTGTCTCTGCGTTTACTATTCAACAGGAGTCAAACTTGAACTTGGATCACAAGTTATTGTACCTGAGGTAGCACCCGTCGTAGACGACATGGCCACCGAGGTCCCCGGCGGCGCAGCTGAAAATTTGAGGGGCAGCGACGTCGAAGCAGGCGACACAGTCGGCGATGGAGAGGTAGCTTCTGCATTGGAAAAGAGTGGAGACGGTGTTTCCACCACTGGCGCCGGCTTGCTGCGCAGTCGCGAAGTGCGTGTTTTGGTCACCGATCTGCTCTCTGATGTCTCGCAACGATGCTTTTATGTTTTCACCGAAGAGGGTGACGTTGGACACGAGGAATTCGGCGTACGGGTTGCAACCTCGGTTCAAAAAATGGGTCTGGGGCTCCGAAACGACACCGTCAAGAATCCAGCATGAGCAGAATAACAATGTAATTAATGGAAGAAGATGAGGTTGAAGCTTTTTTTTTTTTTTTTTCCGGAGTTTGGTCTGAGAGTTTAATGTCCGAGACGGAAGGCCATGCGTGGAGAGAATGAAGAATGTGGAGAAGGAAAGAGGCCCTGGGCACTTGGGCAGGGACAGATTTGTCAATTCACATGTTTGGATGCGATGCATTTATTGAAACCGCCATTGGTTTGAAAAAAGAAACCCACTAAGCACGTGTTAAATGTGCGCCTCTTGATTTACCAGATGTTGAAGCAATTTTTTTTTTTTGTGGGTAGACAAAAAAAACAAAACAAAACCACAAAGCATATGTTTGAGTTTAACGGGCCGGCATTACATATCCAGGGGAAAAAAAGAGTGTCACATAATGTATTTTTTCCCCTAATTTTTTGTAAATTTATTATTGTATTAATACAATAAATTTTAAAAATAATATATTTTTTTAGTCAATGCCTCAGTGAAATATGTGGAGTATAATTAAAGCTCTGAAAAGATTAAAAGATCGAGTTGATGCGGTTTTATTTAGTGTTGGAATTATGAAATGAGTGGGCTTAATTATATTATGGAATTGAAAAGGAAAGCAAAAACCAATGGGCCAGAAGATGTGATGATTAGGCTTCAGAGATGTGGGCTGACATTGAAAGAGTTATCAAGGTATTAGATGGAGGAATAACATAATATTAAAAATCAATGGGCGCTTGGTTGAGTTGAAAAAGATTACGACCGGTATTTTCTAAGGTGAGTGTTTGAACCCTAAGAAGTGACAGTACCTCACTACCACCATAAGGTCTCTTTGCAGGGGGTTTGGATTAGTCTAAGGTAGGCAATGAATCCAAGATACCTCAGGATACCGAATCGCTTACACAAAAAAAAAAAACATAATATCAAAAGGACTATGGGAGATAGGTCTAGTAAAAAAAAATAGTACCTCATAACATGATGAACCAATATTCAAATTCTTACTAGAAGAAATGCCTTATTTTTAGTGGTTGACCATATCTCAAATAAGATTACATGCTTTAACAGAAAAATAACTGTGAGCAATCAAAAAAACATGGTGCCAAAGGAAGAATCTCAACCAGCAGCCACCTAAAGCATCTAAATTGTAGATAAGGCTCAATAGATTCTGATAATTTTCCTACAAGCCCAAATGATTGAATTGAAATTAATTTTGAACACCAAAAGACTAAAACAACCCTGATTTGAAATAGGAATCATTGTGCATGGAAGAAGGAAGACAAGCATTAGGTTGAACAAGACGAGGAAAAGAAAAATGGATAAGAATGAAACAAACTAAAACAAAGTGATGGCGTAGAGCGAGAAAAAGAGAATAAAGAGGAAGAGAAAAATGCCAAAGAAAAGAAAGAGTGGAAGGAGAAAAAATTTTCAAAAAGGAAGAGGAAGATGAATTAAAGATGCACAACATACAAAGCGGAAGAGAAAAATGAAGATGATGTAGAAGAAGGGGATAGGGGAGAGGATACGTACATAACTGTTTGGACTAAAATATGAAACGTTGCTCAAGGTAGGTCACAGGGTTAGTTGGGCTGAGTAACTAAAGCGTCAGGCCCAATATAAACAAAAGAAGGGCCGGCCCTAATGCTCAATAAAGGCCTCAATAAATAAATATGTCAAAATCTTGTCTACTACAGACATTAGACCATTGGCACGAAAGACATAATCTTAAGCAATGCTGAAATTTACGGACCTCACGCTCAAGTATCTCAGTGAAACGGGCTAATTACCAAAATGGAGAGCATAGAATAAAGATCGTGCCATAATTTTTGCGAGATCCCTGATTCTTCGGCAAAATGTGCTAGATCTTAAGGAAAAGGCTATCATTACTCTAACACTATAAATAGAAGAAATAGACACAGAAGAAACAAGTTAACACTCAATCAAAGACTCACATTTTGCACTTTTTAGTCTTTTAGTTTATCAGTTAATTTCTCAATTTAGACTTGTAACTTTTTTGCATTTCACTAAAATCAAACACTTGTTTTACCAAAGCCTTGTATCTTTTTACATCCGAGTAAATTATGGTAAGGAAGCTCGAGACCCTTTTGTTATCAATTGAAACTCAGTGTCTCTAGCATGCCTAGTATTTGTTGTTCACCTATGAACAATTTTTGGCATGCCTAATGGGACCTGTGTAATAAAGATTGCAAGGACGCAAAAAGACAAAAGAACTAACGAAACAAGTGCTGGTTCTCACAAACCAGAAGGAACCTTTACGCACACAGGGTCAAAACACTTATCACTTAATGCTAAAGCAGCTGAACATCATGAGCACATAGTACCGACGATGACAGGTAGTAGCAATAACACAAGCCTTAGCTCAAAGTCAAGAAGTGGACAACCTAACCCACTGATCATATCTAACGGACCTGTGGCAAAAGTGCTATGGGGAATTCAAGATCGAATGGATAAGCAGCTAGAAGAGAACCAAAAGTTCTTTACACTATCTCTGGAAACGTCAGAACATAAGGAGAAAGAATGACAGCAGATCATAATGCAGGCTCTACATGACAGCATGAAGAACATAGCTGCTCGTTAAGAAGCACTCCTTTGGAAGCAAGCTCAAGTTTAGGGCTGCTTGGAGGGCAACAAGTAGGAATCAATATAAGTATTAACCATTGGGGCTGCCCACTTGTAAGAGACATCCCTAACCCTTAAATATTTGCTCACACTAATCTTTTACGTAATTCTTTGTATTATTTACAGGAGCTTGGCACTAGTGGCCTAGGGGGCACGGCAATGATCCCGGAGCGTCAAAACGAGCCTTAGAATCAATTGGTGAACATGGAGGCTCTGAGGGATGCCATCCAGGATATATATGGACCAGGGTTGAGGCTAATTAGCCACCCTACTTTCTCAAAACTATATCTAGAGTACATAAATAGGGACAACGTGTACCCTCCAGGATATAAGATCCTCGACTTTATGCTATTCTCAGGGGACGGAACGCAATCGACATTAGAGTACATTGAGAGGTTCACAATCTAATGTGGCGAGATTGCCAACTATGAAAACTTCACCAACTTAAAGATGAGATTATTCTAGAACACTTTCACAGGCCCGGTGTTCACATGGTATATGTCATTACCCTGTAACTCAATCATCAGTTGGATGGAAATGGAGCAAAAGTTCCATATCCAATTCTATAAGGTAGAACTGGAGGTTAGCATAACAGAACTCTGCAAGCTCACCCAACAAGCTAAAGAGATGGCAGACCAAGACTTAGTAAGGTTCAAATGACTAAGGAGCAGGTGCCACGTACCGCTTTCAAAAATTGAACTTGTTAAGCTGACACAAGCAAGACTAGATATAGAGCTTCAAAAGAAATTTTAGGGGATGAAATTTTAAGATTTCTATGAACGCACGGCCAAAGTTTGGGGTTATGAGGAACTGGTCAAGGAAGAAGACCATTGCCGATGGACTATGACAGGAACCTATTTTCAGGACTTAGATGTGGCAGTGGCAAAACTAAAAAATACTGGCAACTACATATGCCCAGCTCTGATAAGGAGGGTTAGAGAGCTTTCCAAAAGGCCAAACGTAATTTAGTACATCTTTGATACCACTAAAATAGAGGACTCAAAGAAAACTTCATCTCCCTGCCTGCTGATCGCAAAATTCCCTTTGAAGAAAGAATATATAGGGAAGGAATACTACAAGTACCATCACTCAAGGAGTCACAGCACCAAGGCATGTTAGAGTTTAAAGAACGCCATCCAAGACCGAATCAATAAGGGGGTTTTAAAGTTCCTTAAAGAAAAATCCATGGTTGTAAACGAGGACCCATTCCCATCATTTGCTATAGTCAATATAATAGAGATAAACTCTTATAAACAATGACCTAGGAAGAATGATGGTAAGCAAAGAAATGGGAGACCCTAGAACATTTGAAATAGGGAGAAAGTGAGTCAGGAAAACTCAAGGACAGTGTGGGATTGCCTGAGGAAACCTACAGAATGATCTAATAAGAATAGGTCTTCTAGATGGGACATTAGCCCGGAAGGGCAAAGCGTCAAAAGCTCAGACTACTCCAAGGTAGTTTGGGACCACCTAAAAGAAACCCAGAATGAAGACAACCGGCAGAATGTGAAGTAAAATAGCAAATGACCCTTGGGATAGGATGTTAGCCCAGGGGGATTGATAATGACAGAGCTAGATAGATATAAGGTAGTCTGGGACCATTTAGGGGAGTCATCTGGAAAATTTAACTTCTTCGTAAAGTACTCAATGCCCTTAGAAATAGGTAAATCATTCACAAGGATACCAATGAGCTAGGATGTAGGCTTTGACAGCTACCTTTACCACCATTAATGATATCTGAAAGTAATATAGAGCTTCCTTCAAAACTAAAAGCCGTTAAGGGCTCGGGCAGGTTTGTTGTGCCGCCTGGCAACGTGCTGCCTAAGAAATGGAGAGTCGTGAGACACATGAAGTTTCCAGCTACCTTGATGAGGACTCAGAAATGACATCTTTAACAAAAGTAGGCTACACAAAGAAACCTCAAGTAGCAAAAAACTAAGGTACAGGAAAGCCCTAATATTCAACAGGAAGCTAACAAGTTCAGAAGGAAGTCTACCGAGGATCAGGATGAAGGGAGTAAGAATGAAAAATCAACATGATGGGACTATTCACGTTAGGGAGATATCGCTTAACCTTTGCCACGTGGTTTTATTAACACTCCCTTCTCAATTCTGGTCTACTACCAGTAGTACTCAAGACTAGCATAAACAGAACTCTTCGAGGTCGACATATGCGGGTCCATATCAATATTACCCAATGAAGCTAAGTGAGGAAGAGGAGTATAAACCTATAAGGATGCAGATGTAGAAAGAGAAGGCTGTGAAGCCCGTTTTCCAAATTACCTTGCAAGTAATAGAAGGAAAGCCAAAGCGGGCTGTCCTGAAAAAACCCGGCATTAAGATGACCTAGCACCTGAAGCCTTTATACATCAGGATACATTTCAACGGGAGGCCAATGACTAGGGTCCTTATGGATAACAGCTCGGTGGTGAACATACTGCCAGCTCACATAATGCTCAAGATGGGATGAGAGGAGCGTGACCTGATGCCAACTGAGGTATCCATTATAGGGTTCACCAGGATCTCATCTAAAGTCCTCGACATACTTCCATTGCAGGTTGATGTTGGGATCAA